AAAAAAAAAAAAAAAATTAGTACAAAATATCAACAATTTTCTGTTACCCCTGCATTAGCTGGTGAAAACGTAATATATTTTTAAATATTTTCACGACCCCAAAGTGCACCACAAGGAGGTTTGCAGATAAGATTTTACACTCCTTTTTTTTACTTTCTTTATGTTTGGGAAAAAATTAAATTTCCGTGATCCCCGCGCGCCTTCGATATACGCTACTGAGAGCTCTCTGTAATTGTGTACATCGACAGTTGTTATTGCGTCCACAAGGGCGAAGCGCGAATTAGGAGAGAGTTTCCGCGTCTTTAAAAAGGAGCGATGCGGCACGGAGGGCGAGTCTGGTACGACGAGCCGTCCGGTAAACCCGAGAAGAAACATTGTGATCCGAAGAATAAAAATTACGTATTCTTACTTAGAATAAGAGACTAGTTCCTGCTATCTATCCTTGCCTATCGACGCAGTCCACAAGAGAGAACTAGGCGATAGCTCCGATAAAACCCAAAGGAGAAAATATACAAAACACTTTATTTTTTTTACTTTTTTTTCGAAAATTTTCTGTCTTCGAAAATTTGCCGCCCCCTCCAATTTGCCGCCCTAGGCAAATGCCTATGTTTGCCTCTAGTGTTAATCCGTCGCTGACTAGCACATGCTCATTACTCTACTCTTACCGTTCGACTTCCTTATCCCCCATCCAAAAGAAAATTGGAAAGCCCTTTTTCCTTCCCTTCCTTCTTTTTCTTTCCTTTCTTTCCTTCTTTTCCATCCTACCTCCTCCTAATCATTCTCCCGTGCTACTGCTTTTCATCTCTTCTTCTACGTTATCCTCATCCTTGTTCACGTCAATCTTATTTGAATTTTCTTTCCTGTATAACTTCTTCTCTCTGCCCTCCTCCACTTGTCCTTCATTTCCTCGCTTCACTCACTATCCCGTCATTCTTTTCCCTCATTTTTTCCGCCTTCCTCCGCCTTTCACATACTTCTTTCCCACTTTCCTTCACGATTCACAATCCTGCTTATCCTTCCCGCCTGCCATTTCCCCCCTCTATTATTATTAATATTATTTAATAGTAATATATTTTTCAATTTTTCTAGCCAGCTGTGGTCTCCAAATACACTAGCACACAAATATGTTTATTTCTATGTATTTTCAATCATTTTATACAATACCATACACTATTTATTTGTTTTCTTAATTCACAGGTTAGATTGCTGGCTGAGATATTACTTACAATAAATAAGGGACGAGGTTTGTGTAATTTGTATAGTATAGTATTTTTCTTTTTAAGTTACATATTTTTAAATTTTAAGTAGATTACAAACTTTTGTCTTTCTTTATTTCAACTTTTTCATTTTTTTCATCTCATTATCATTTTTATTCGTTTCTTCCGTTTATATTTTATTTCAATATGTTTCGTTTAGCGAAAAGGCGCAGTCGCAAGCCTTTTCATTTATTATCTACAGTTCATCGTCGTCGTTTAGAAAAATTAGAAAGAGATGCGCGTAATGAATTTCTACAGGAGAATTTAAAGATTGCCAGTGCTAGAGTCGATTCAGACTTTGTTGATGAAGGTCAAATTCTTGCGGAATCTAGTCAGCCAGGAAATGAGGAAATTGCATTTTATTCTAATGCATCATCTGATGATATGCAGTTTGATGAGGCATCAAGTTCTTCAGATGCTGCTAAATCTACTTCAGATAGTGATGATGCATTAGATACTGAGCCTCAAAATACTCGCGATAATTTTCAAGAACGCCTTGCTGAAGTCTTCGTACGTAGTAATATGTCTCATGCGCAAGCAAATGCTGTTTTACAGGTAGTTCGAACACATCCCTGTTTATCCACATTGCCAAAAGATTGTAGAACGCTTTTAAAAACTCCACGGATCACGCATCTCACATTTAACATTGCAGGAGGTGAATATCTTCATTTAGGGTTTGAGGCAGGAATTCTTTCCATTCTTGAGCAAACTTCTCCGGATCTGATTCCACTTGACACTTTAATGATAGACTTTAGTACAGATGGTGCGACATTAGATGGGCAGGGCAAAATTCAAATGTGGCCGATACAAATTAGAATTGCAAATATTTCGCGAAGTAAACCTGAAATTGTAGGTCTTTGGCGAGGTACATCGAAACCAAATAGCGCGAAAGAATTATTTCAGAATTTTGTAGATGAAGTTCGAGATGTATTAAATCGTGGAGGAATTGCTTTCCGTAATCAACTAAAAATAGTTCAATTAAGATGTTTCATAGCTGATTCTCCTGCGCGAGCTTTTGTTTTGGGTCATAAAGGTCACGGTAGTCTATTTCCGTGTTCAAAATGTTGGATTCGGGGAAATTGGCTTCGTCGTGGATGCGTAGCTTATCGTGGTATTCAGCATAGGCCCCGTACAGACGAAGAATACAGAAATAACATTGATGGAGAACATCATACTGAGTCAGAATCTGCTCTGCTTCCTTTAGAGATGGGATTGGTAACTCAAACGGTTTTCGATTACATGCATACTGTATGTCTTGGTGTTGTTCCCAAAATAAATAGTGTTCTCGTCGATGGAAAATATAATCCAACTTTAAAACTTTCTGCTAGATCACTTGAAATTATGACTGCACGTCTACAACAAGTTGCGAATTACATCCCTAAGGAATTTTCACGAAAACCGCAATTAATGAAAAAATATGGAGGGTTTAAGGCCACGGAAAATCGTCAACTTCTTCTATATACTGCCCCAGTTATTTATTACGGACTTATAAATCCTACTGCATACAAACATTTTCTTTTATTACATTCCGCAATTCGAGTTTTGCTTAGTTCTTCCTTATCAGAAGACCGTCTTGATTTTGCATCTACAGCATTAAACATTTTTGTAAATAGAGCAGAAGATATATATGGTCCAGAATTTCTCTCATACATTACTCATTGCCTTTTACATCTCGTAGATGACGTTAGACGTTTTGGTTCATTAAATGAATTGTCTATGTTTCCATACGAAAACAATATGATGTATTTCCGCAAAGCTTGCCGTAAACCTCATCAACATTTGCAACAGATTGTAAATAGGCGACATGAAAATTTACAAATCACACAAAAAATTGTGAATGATCACAATAAAGTCATACATTCCGGTAGACCTTGGGTTAGTCCTACAGTTTTTAATGTTCCCTTAGATAGTCGCCAGTTTCAGATCTTAGACACAGGAAAATTTCGTCTATCAGTAAAGGATCGGGATAATACAATAATATTAAAAATTCAAAGATTTGTCTTGTTCAGAGCATTTTCTTGCGTGATCATTATCATTTAGCGGTTAAAGAGTTTTGTAGAGTTGAAGATTTTTATGATATTGGTTTGTCATTTCATCATCAGTAGGTACCTTTCGATGTTCTTTATTATCTGATGAAATTATTATAATAGATTTGAATGAAGTGCAGAATAAGTGTTTCCGTATACCTTATTGGCACACTGAAGGGCATATAGATCCTATTACTGATGTCTGGGTAGTTGCAGTTATTCTACATACTATGGATTAGGAACATCATTAGGTAGATTAGAAATATCAGTTCTAATTTCAGTAGGTGCATTCTCTCTAAGGCCTTTAAATCCATACATAAACTCTTACTACAACGTACAAACAAAAACGGAACATAGTTTTACGATTTTTCTTGTCGATTCAAGTTTATATGCGGGTTTAAATTTACGATCAATGAATGTAACGTAATGCATTAATTATGGAAGAACATGTGCGGAGAGTTTTTTAAAGATGAGTCAAGAGCGAGGACGAGGAAGAGGAAAAGGAATGAACACCGAAGGGAAGACAGCGTCTGCATTGCAATTATTAAACAAGGACATCGAAAAATACCGCACAAAACACATACACAAACCTAACATAACTACACTTCACAAAAATACACAAAAACAAGCAGCCTCAGCATCATCCAAGTATCATTCACAATCTCCAGTATCATCATCCTTGCATGTTCCATCACCATCATTCTCATCACAACACTCAAATAAACACATCCTCCTCCATCAGCACCATTACAACATAGATCCATTGTATCACATTCACCTTCAGTAACCACTCAATTATCCGCACAAGACATTACACCAGTACAACGCAAACAAACATTATCACGCTCGTCTTCATCAGCATCTATACAATCATTCACGCAAAAAGTCCAGCCATCATTCAAACCACCATCACAACAAACAAACAGTAAAAAACATTGTTACGCTCGTCTTCATCAGCATCTATACAATCATTCACACAAAACATCCAATCATCATTCAAACCACTATCACAACAAATAAACAGGAAACAAACACAATCAGGATCATTTGTTCATGATGTACGCAGCCATCGCCTGTCCACACATAGAGAAGAATTGATAAAAGAAAAGGAAATAATGCAGTCTCTAAAGTAAGTTTTAAAAATAATTACAATAAAAATAGTCATTTATGTGCACGAATAAAGGCATTAAATTTCATTTTAGAATCATTATGGATCAACTACGTCGAATGGAAGAACGACAAATTTCTATAGAAAATAAAACCGAGTAAGTATATTAATGATTTTATTAAAGAATAGCAAGCAAAACTGAATACTTATAAATACATTAATTACATAATTTTATTTTTTTACAGTGAAAATGCAAAAACTATAAAAAGATTATTAAAAGAATCTACAATGAAGAGACCAACAAAGCCACAGGAGGTCTCATTTAAAACTGTGGATGATTTCTTGGCCTTCGAAGAAGTTGATGAAGAAATTTATAATGATTTGGTAAGGATATATTTTGAAATATAATATTTTCTAACACAAATATATATAGTAATTTTTCACTTTATCAAAAATTTTGTATTAGGTGGGATACTTCATTTATCTTGGACGAGCCAATCCAATAGATTGCGCCGCGGAATATTTTCGCAGCGTATTTCCAGAAGACGAGGAGGTTTCATCATACCTCACTCTAAATGGAAAAAGTGGACAACGAGGGGGCTGTAAATTGCGGGACAGTCGCTTCGCTCAGGCATGTCAAGGTTTGTAAAAATACTGTCAGTGTATGATGTGCATGTGTCCTACATTAATTACGTTTACACGTCAAACTTAATTGAATTTAGTAACTTCCGTTTTGAGGTAGGCTAATCACAGTCATTCTTCTAAAAAATAAAACAGCTGTCATTGACCAACCTTATATGTCGTCTACAATGGGACTTTAAGAAAGAAATTTAAGATTTAAAAAATTGACTAATATTCATTATTCTTCTCTAAAGTCAATTGCAATTGGTTAATTTCTTAAATTTTAAATCTTAAAATCCTATTGTAGATGACGCATTAGAACAACTAGGATGTTATTAAATTTGATTAAAGATGACGTAAATGTAATTATTATGGGTCGTAAAAATAAAAATGATCATGACCTTATACTTCAATTTTTTAAAGCAAATTCTGAAAGATATATGATTGTAATAATCATATGTATAACTTTAAGAATTTGCTCCAAAAAATTGAAGTATTTATAAGTTAATTTTTATTAATACGCGGGGGGGGGAGTCATTGAATACAAAACTAAAGTGTTTTTTGTCTATATTTTTTCAGATGCTATGAACTCAAACAAATATTTTATTAATCCCAACAACGTCGAATTTTATGACGCCCTGGAAAAGGCTTTAAAAAGTCTTAAAACCAGAAAATGGCGTTACAATAAGAAACGACGCCAAGAAAATGAGGAGGACGTCCCACCAAATCGACGCCGCCGAATAGACAACGAAGATGAGGTCTGTGTTTCTTATTTTTACTTTTACTTTTTATTTTTTTTAGTTGATAATTCTTCCAATGTAAAGAAAAAAAGATAAACTTTGAACCAGTGCAACTAGTTCTAAAAAGAATAAACTTTATGATTACAGAAAACTACAGAATTTGAAGATATCGTGGAGACTGAGCAGGAGATCGATGATGACGAAAACTTAGAGAACGATTCACTTGGTGGCAACGATGAACTAACAGAGACTCAACACACGGAGGAAACTGAGGAGATTGAAGATACGGAGGACGCTCTCTGGTAAAAATATTTATATTTTCAAAATTTCATTAATTTAGGAATTTTACAATTCATCTATATATATAAGCACGTTGTCTGTCTGTCTGTACGCGAACTAGAGGAGGGTATGTTTTTGCGAAAAAATCTTTTTTTGCAATATTTCTGAACACATGGTATCAAAATGTTGCAAAATTTTTGGAGATAGCGACGATGCGGTTTTTTCAAGTGTAACACCTCCACCCACGCATCCACCCACACGCATGCGCATTTATGGACCAATTTTCACGAAATTAGTACCAAAATGTTGCAAATTTTTCTGACAAAGCTGGTGTTTTATTTTTTTAAGTTTACGCCTCCACCCACGCACCCACCCACGTAATCGTATATTTATGAACCGATTTTTTTAAATTGGTACCAAAATGTTGCAAATTTTTTGAAGATGACGACGATGTAGTTTTTTCAATTGTTACACCTCCACCCACGCATTCACCCACGCGCGTGCGCATTTATGGACCAATTTTTACGAAATTGGTACAAAAATGTTGCAAATTTTTTTGAGAAAGCTGCTGTGTGGTTTTTTAAAGTTTTATCTCACCCACGCATTCACCCACGCATTCACACATTTATTCACAGACTTTTTCGAAATTTGTACTCAAATTTTGTTGGGGATGGCTACTATGATTTTAACAAATTTTTATCATCCTATTTATCCACCCACGCACCCATGCACCCATGTGCATACGCATTTATTGACTTGGTCACACCAATAAGTAATTTTAAAAAAATTTGTGTACATGTTTGTGATTGCAAAAATTTGCAACATTTTGGTACTAATTTCGTGAAAATTGCATACAAATTAAAGGTTTATTTACACGAATTGCACACATAATCACAAATACGTACACAAATTTTTTAAAAATTACTTCTTGGTGTGACCAAGTCAATAAATGCGTATGCAAATGGGTGCATGGGTGTGTGGGTGGATGAATAGGATGATAAAAATTTGTTAAAATCATAGTAGCCATCTCCAACAAAATTTAACTACAAATTTCAAAAAAGTATGTGAATAAATGTGTGAATGCGTGGGTGCATACGTGGGTGGGATAAAACTTTAAAAAACCACACAGCAGCTTTCTCAGAAAAATTTGCAACATTTTGGTACTAATTTCGTGAAAATTGGTCCATAAATGCGCATGCGTGTGGGTGGATGCGTGGGTGGAGGTGTAACACTTGAAAAAACCACATCGTCGCCAAAAATTTGCAACATTTTGGTACCAATTTTTTAAAAAATCCGTTCATAAATATGCGATTGTGTGGGTGGATGCGTGGGTGGAAGCGTAAACTTAAAAAACCCCACACACATACACAGAGAGAGAGAGAGAGAGAGAGAGAGAGAGAGAGAGCGTGTGTCTTAAAGAAAGAGGGAGGGAGAGAGATAAGGAGAGAAAGAGCATGTGTCTTAAAGAGAGAGAGAGGGAGCGCGTGTGTTTTAGAGTGAGAGAGAGAGAAAGCGTGTCTTAAAAAAGAAAAGAAAATATCTGAGAGAAAGAAATAGATAACATAGTAATCATCTACAAAAAAATTTAAACATTTATTTTGGTATAAATTTCGTGAAAGTCGAACAACAAATGTGGAAGTAGTTGCGGTAATACAAAAAAAGAATTAATTTTTTGTGAAAATCTCTCCTCCAATTTTAAAGTCGACCAGACTGGCAATAATTTATTTTAAATAATTAGTTTAATTTACAACGTTTCGGCTGTCATTGCAGCCCTTTCAAGTAATCTATAAACAATTATATACATATAAATATAATCTTAATGCGCTTAATCATACAAATAATTATAAATTTACAAAAATATATATGTTTACATACCAGATTAATACAATAAATCATATTTACAGCAAATCCCCGACAAAATTCACCATTGTTTTGATGAACAATGTATAACTGACAGAAGTAAGCCCGAAATAAATAGATGTTGACTGTTAGTAGAAAACTTAGTCATTACGCGTTGAGGAAATATAAAACCAAAGTACTGTGTCTTTCGCAATTTTTAAACCGTCAATACAAAGTCAAATAAATAGATAAATAAATAAATAAATAAATAAATATGTAACATATGACAATATAATATATTAAATAGCTTCAAGAACGCGATCATAAATCCCACTGAAATTCTCCGTATCTTTTTGTAAATTAATGCTTTTTCTTTGGTTTTTATATAGAACATTTCTGCTATTCTCTTTTTCTCGTTTGTTTTTCTTGATGCAGAATCACAGGAGAATCCCAACGGAACTCATGATCGTTACAAGTCCGATGCAAACTAACAACTGAGTGTGATGTCGTGTCTTTTTTAATGTTATTTTTATGTTCCTTAATACGTGTTTCTAAATGTCGCTTTGTTTGTCCAATATATGTAGAGTCGCAATTCGCGCATTCGATCTTATAGACGACATCGGTTCTTTTTAAGTTATCAATACTATCTTTTCCTCTTTTTATCAAAGTGTCTAATTTTTTGGAACGGTATATACTACACCGATTCCATTTTTGTTTATGCAACGAGTAATATTTTCGCTCAAATCTCTAATATACGGCAACACTATAACATTTCGTGTATCAAATTTATCTCGATTAGACGCACCAAAATTACCGCCAAATTTAATCGCCCTAAGTCTCCTGTTAACAATTTTGTTTATGACTGTTAACGGGTAACAATTGTTACGAAGAATTCGTTTGACTAAGATGATGTTTTTCTCGTGAAACATAGGGTCAGCGAGTAAAATAGCCCTGTCCACGAGACTTGTGATCACACTAATTTTATAACGCATCGGATGGTTCGAAAGAAAATTTATATAACGGCCTGAAAACGTAGGCTTACGGAACCAGTCAGTCGTCAATTTGCCATTAACTCGCATAACGCTTGTGTCTAAAAAACTTAAGGAACAATTGTTCTCCAATTCAAACGTAAACTTTAGTCGAGTGTGAAAACTATTAAAAATCGTAAGCATATCCTCCACTTTACATTTCGGAATAATTGAAAAAATGTCATCAACATATCTGAAATAACAAAAGGGCTCAAAATCCAATTGACATTTAGAAACACGTATTAAGGAACATAAAAATAACATTAAAAAAGACACGACATCACACTCAGTTGTTAGTTTGCATCGGACTTGTAACGATCATGAGTTCCGTTGGGATTCTCCTGTGATTCTGCATCAAGAAAAACAAACGAGAAAAAGAGAAATAGCAGAAATGTTCTATATAAAAAACCAAAGAAAAAGCATTAATCTACAAAAAGATACGGAGAATTTCAGTGGGATTTATGATCGCGTTCTTGAAGCTATTTAATATATTATATTGTCATATGTTACATATTTATTTATTTATTTATTTATTTATTTATTTATCTATTTATTTGACTTTGTATTGACGGTTTAAAAATTGCGAAAGACACAGTACTTTGGTTTTATATTTCCTCAACGCGTAATGACTAAGTTCTCTACTAACAGTCAACATCTATTTATTTCGGGCTTACTTCTGTCAGTTATACATTGTTCATCAAAACAATGGTGAATTTTGTCGGGGATTTGCTGTAAATATGATTTATTGTATTAATCTGGTATGTAAACATATATATTTTTGTAAATTTATAATTATTTGTATGATTAAGCGCATTAAGATTATATTTATATGTATATAATTGTTTATAGATTACTTGAAAAGGGCTGCAATGACAGCCGAAACGTTGTAAATTAAACTAATTATTTAAAATAAATTATTGCCAGTCTGGTCGACTTTAAAATTGGAGGAGAGATTTTCATTATTTATTACTGGCGACTCTTAAGGATTATCATTTATTAATTTTTTGTGTTAAAACGGATTTAATATAGACTATATATACCGAAAAGCTAGTAATTAATTAAAAATAAATTCTGAAAAATTATTACAAAAAATTTAGATTTTTAAAACGTTTTTGAGGAAATTATAAAAAAAAAATTTAAGGAATATTTAACATTTATATGTATACATGTAAAAAATTTTTATAAAATTTATAATATGCAAAATAATTCAATACTATTGTCAGAATATTTATGGATAATTTTAAAGTGTTCTATTTAATATATATATATATTAAATGTATATACATTTAAATGTACAGACCTGGAAACTGCCATATAGTTCTAGATTAAATGTACAGACCTGGATATATAATATATATATTATGACGTGGTCTTTTTGAGCCCGTCACAAGGGCGAACGCGCCCGGCCGGGAAGCGTCTGAGAGCGCTGTACAATTTTGTGTTTCGTGCGGGTGAGCAGCGGCCTTTTCGCTAGCTCGCCCGCACTCAGTATCGGGATCGAGGTGGTAGGCCAGGAGAACGGCCATTGTTTTAGGGAGAAGAGGACCTGGGCAGACGACGGAGGAACGACCTCGGAGGGGGAGGAGCGGAGACTGAGCGACCGGCCCGGTGAGTATTAAGAACAATAAAATATACGCGGTACCGAGAAAGTAAGGAAGGGATACTGCGAATAAACTCGTTACAGCCTCGATGGGACGAACAGGAGCAGTCCAAAACAGGGAGGAAAAGGCGCCTACATTCCGCGACCAGGATGATTCCCCTGAGGGGCCCGCCACCACACATCGAGAGAAACACGGAGATCTAACGGGACTGATCATCCCGAGACGACTTCCCTCAGCAAATAAAGGTCGTTCGGAACATCATACGGCCATACGAGGTGTGGACGGGACCGCCGAGAATGGACCTGCTGCACCGTCGCTCCCGAGGGCTGAAATTTGTATTTGGCGGCGGAAGTCCGCGACCAGCCGCGAGACACAGGAATCGATACGAAGATCGATTCCGGGTCCGGCGCGGGGCGCAACGCTGCCGCGAAACCTGGCAACCGGGCCGGGGTGGCGCGCATTGTCTTCCCCCTCCCCACCAGCGTACCTTCCGAGGTCCCGCCGGCCCGAAAGGAACTCACTGTTCGGCAAGCCGGTGTCCTGCGAGCACGAACA